TCATTTGGAGTCTTATTTAACGCTTTCGTAGAATGTTATACGAAAGTAATAATGGCCAATGAAGTGAATAATTATTTCTGTTCTATCCGCTTAAGAGACCATATGTTGAAAGAAAAAATTGCAAAGGTTATGTGTAGTTTGTTTAATTGCATTTTATAGTCTAATATAAAAATGAAAGTGGCTATGAGAGATTGAAAATTTGGTTGATTTATTTCTTTCCTTATTGATGACATGAATGGATTAATGTAAGACCACCAGTGAAAACCTGGAATTACTGGACGGCCGGTTCTTCTCAGCATGTGATTTTTCAACAGTGCGCACTGACGATTTCTTAGAGCACTAATGAGAAGCCGTGACCAGTGGAGTTCAACTGTGTCTATTGTGAGGCAGTTACTTATTGAAAACAATGGAGGATGGTCGCGCAAAATCGTGAATTGTTTGAAGTTATACATTAACACCATTAGATGCTGTTTCAGTGATCTAGAGATTAAGCGTTCACGCGCGAGACCGAAGTTTTCTGGGTTTGAATCCCGTGTGTGGGATCGTGGATACCCACTACTGAGGAATCACATACTAGGACGAAACGGCTGTCTAGTGCTTCCAGGTTTTCAATGGTGGACTAACATTGATTCTTTCATAATATCAATCTAGACTCAACAATCTTCGCAACCTTTTACTGTTAATTATTTCCTTTTTGTTCAAAAGTTTTCAGCATTACTGATATGAATGTTTTACTATACTATCAACGTAATAGTTAATTTAAAACATTGTTCAAAAGAAGCTGTGTTGTGTTTATTTCGAAATAACCATGTCTAATTTTAATAGTTGACTATTTCTTTATACACGTAATACACGTAAAACAATATAATGTTGTTTCTTTGTGTACTAAACAATAAAAGAAACAATACATACTTAGTACTGAGTAATCAATGATAATATTTTTAGAAGGGGTTTTGTGGAGAGATTTTAAAAAAATAAATTTCAGTAGTTGAAGTCATGTTTCAATTGAAGTTAGACCACCATGGAAAACCTGGAAGCACTGGACGACCTCGTATGTGGCTCCTCAGCATTGCGCATTCACAATCCCACTCCTCGTGAGATCCGAACCCAAGACCCATCAGTCTCGCGCGCGAGCGCTTAACCATATTTTTAATTATCTACAGGTTAGTTACTTTTATGAACTACTGAACACCTTCCTAAGTAGAAATAAGTTCACTGCTTGATCTTTTTCGCTTCATGGTTTTCTAGGTTTTTTGACAAAACATATTTGTGTTAAATCTTATCTCAATTTTATTTCTGTCCATTCTGATCAAAACATAATCTGTTCTTTTTAGAAAAGCGTATCGTTGAGTTTCTTTTTAATCAGACTAAATTATACTAACCTATTCATTATATGAGCATCAAATAAATCAGAAATATATGTTCGGCAAATGTTCTTAACATTAAATTATTGTACGTAAAATATGGTTTGTAATAATTCAAAATATATTATATTCCATATGAAATCTTTAACTATTACGTCATAGTGAGTGTATTAAACAAAGTTATTTACACTGCTTAGTGATATCTGATTATTTCATAAACTAATTCATTTGTATAACGTTCCTTTTTCATAACATAATTGTCATTATCTAATTAAATCATTTTGACTTTGAAAGTCTCAATACACCTTATTTAAAATATATATAGAAATGATGTAAAATTTATACAGTTTTAAGTTACTTGTTGTAAGACACAAAATCCTATCATATAATCCATACATAGTAACTAGTAAGTGACGAAAATGGGATAATTTATTCTATTTAATTATTGTTCAATAAAACAACACTAACTTCATTTATACGAATATTCGTCAAGATTATGACGAATAGTTTGACAAAAATTGGGCACCGAGTATAGGGAACTTATATGTGAAAATTATATTTGAAATAATCTCAGTGATTGAAATTTAAATAATTCCAACGTTTCGTCCAGTTAACTTGTCTGAGCTTCTTCAGGGTAATAGTCAAAATCATCAAAGAAATATATAGCTCTCAACAATCAATACTAACTTCATTTAGATTTAATAAGTTTTACTTTAATAGAAGTTGCATATAATTTAGTGATTCAAATCTTTTATCATTTGATAGTCATTAACTTTAATTCCAAATAAAAAAGAAATTTCTTGTTTCTTAATAAAAACAGTTTATTTTTTCCAGGGTAATTTGTTTCAACCAGCCTATTTCACATTTTCTCAATTTTTTGTATGTTACATTATTTGGACTATTTTTGTATTATGTATGGTTAAGGTTATTTCTGTATGGAGTGGCTATAAAGTGATGTGTATTAATTGATAGTCGAAGTAGGTTGTACTATAAACACTTTTACCAACCGACGTTTCTTTTTCATCAACGTTATTCCAAGTAAAAATGATCACAAAGTTGACATAAATCAATCTCCCCTATTTCCTTATTATAAAAAGAATACAATTATTGAAAAAGTGAATCGTTATGCCTTTTTTTCACTTTTACCCCCTCATATATACATACTCGAGGTTATAAGAGAATAAGTGTCAGAAGTTTTTACAACTTTTGACAATGACCACTGACAGATTTTAATCATCAACTACCCTTTTAAATGTTAGAGCAACTGTACACTAAACATTTTTTTCGGATGGAAGCTTGCCAAAATGTATAAACACTACAGATTTTAGTATCATTGCAAGATACTAAATATTCAGTTACCAAACTTTAGTATTTTTGAAAATTTATTTTATTTTATACGAAGAAAATGGTAAAAGTTAGTTGTATATTTATGGAAAATGATAGTTGTCCAGTGTGATTTAGTTTGACTATAATTTAGATAAAATAATTAGTTATCTTTGACAATATATAATTTACATTGGCAAATTTGTTTTAGTTTACAAAACAGGATTTGATTAGAAGAAATTTAATGAACTAAACTATGTGAATTAATTTTCCAGGTCTTTCAAGACATGAATTTGAGCATTCTGTAATTATTTCAAACGGTTTAGATTAAATATATTCAGATCACATCATCAGTTGTTGGATAATCGTTGTGTTTATATTTATAAATCATGTATATTAGCATGGAACCATAATGAATGACAGATCCTTAATTTATATGTAACCGAAAAGAATTTGTAGTTTACCAAAAGTTATCGTATTTATGAATTTGAAGTTATCTATTCCTTTATTTCCCTGTATTTCATTTACAAGATTCAAATTACTTTTAGTTTATTTGACCCTTTTACAAAAATTCCTCATCTTCATTTGATCACAATAACAACTTCGTTTTAATCAAATGTTCATCTTTTATTTATGGTAATTATATCTAGTTATGTTATTTAAACATTATTGAATAAAAATGTTCGAGGTTTTATCAATTAATATATCAAAGCAATCGTTTTTTCTCATACCGTCATAATAATAGATTATGAAAACTAACATCATTATCACAATGACTTTATCATGGTTTCATGGTTGATAATGCTAATTTTACCATTTGTCTGCCATAATCATAATAGTTTACATATATTTCTTGTGGGTTTTGTACGTCACTGTTAATTCTGATTAATTTTGTCTACAAAATGAAATTTTATGGATATAGAAGGTAATTATAATTGTTTTTGATTGAGATAATGAACCGATTGATGTTAGACCACCATTGAAAACCTGGATCTCAATCAAAAACTTAACAGTCTCCACAACCCTCAAACTGATAATTACCCTGTGCTCACTAGTGACTAGCTTCGTGAAAAAAATTCTAGTGAGAAGCCGTGACCAGTGGAGCTAATCAGTGTCGGGTAGGGACAGGTATCTACCTCAGTACAATGGAAGTTGGTCACGCGATTTCGGGGATTGGTTGAAGTTATACATTAACACAATTGGATTCCGGCTCAGTGATCCGGTAGGTTATACTGAAGGCCCTGGGTTCGAATCCCTCAGGCGGGATCGCGGATGCGCACTCCTGAGGAGTTCCACGATAGGACGAAACGGTCATCCAGTGCTTCCAGGTTTTTCATGGTAGTCTAGTTTCAACTGACTCATGATCTGAACCATTGAAATAACAATTGTTTTTTCACTTTTAAACTAAATGGCTATATAGATGTTAAACAGAAAATTACATTCGGGAAATACTTCATTTGTTTCTATATTTTAGTGTTTAAGTAGAAGATTCAATCGGTACTAAATGAAATGAACTCACTATATCATACAATCTTTATTATTCTTAGTTTAATGAATGGAGAACCAATGGAAAAATACGGAATTCAAAAGAAGCATTGATTAGGTGATAATAATGAATAAAAACCAAATGGATATGCTGGTAGGGGGGGTGGAGAAGGTTAAAAACATATTTCAACGTATGATAGAGTATATTTTGAGATCGAATATTTATGAGAAAATATTAAATCGAAACTCATGTTTAATTTGATGGTTTTGTATCACTATGTAATACTTTATATTATTTATTATTTAAGACCACTGGTAGACAAAAGAGAAACAGAAACAGAATGTTTTCAATGATTCTCTAATGGTGAATAAAGTAATGTATAGATGAACAAAAGTGTTTTTTTTTGTGTTTTCGCCTGAGAATAATAAATTATAGACAATAAATTGAAGTATTGTATATGTAGTGAATAGGTTGTAAGTTTATACATTTATTCTATCATTCACAAAGACAAATTAAAGCTACATCATATCCGCGAAGACATATTTTTCATTATTAAAGATTACATGTTTCCTTAGTTATACTTAAATAATGATCTGTTAAGAACCTGAAAATAATCAATACAATGCATTAATATATACAACTATAATTGGTATATTATACAGGTAGTTGATCAAATAGGACACCATGTGGGATATTGTATTTCTTATCTTTTGGATCTGTTTTCGTAATTCAAAATAATTTGTAAAATGTACTTGAATAAATAAAATTAGCTGTCAATATATATTCATCAGTGAAATAATAACAATACCGGATAGACTTAAACTAACCTGTTATTAAGTATACTTCACCTAACATTGGACCAGTTTGAAATCGATCACAATTATATACGATTTGATGAACAAGAGTTGGTTGCATATAATGTTTAATATCCTATAAAATTAAAATAAGAAATAAGTTGAGTGACTTTCATCATAAAAAAATGGGATACATTTTATTTATAAAACATATTAATATAGAAATTCAGAAATAATAAAGATAGATTTTAAAGTGGGCTTATATTAAGAGCTTTCTATGTAGTCTACTTGAGGATTTTGATTCTGTAATCTAGGAAATGATTCTTACAGTCTTGAATGTTCCTACTGATATACGAATGTTTTAAGAGAACTAGACTAGAAATATAATTGGAAGACTGATATTAGGTGGGTGAAATGTACACAAATAACGAATTTTTCTTGTCAGCTTAAAATTTATCTAAACAATAAATCATTACTTGATTCATATCTAACGGATCTTTCATTTTAGGAATCATTGAATCTGAAGTAACAAGCAGTTTGTTTTCTTAAACAACATAATGAACAACCTATATACTTTTAGAAAATGTGAAAGCCTCTCATTTTTACTCATGAATAACTTACGTGATCCAAAACGTTCGATGTCATTAATACTTCTCAGACATAAAATGTTGACTAACTAGATCATTATCAGTAGAACAATAATGAATTCCATATTCAAGTGGTCGAATGTATTAATACAATGTGATAAATACCAACAGTAGGTGAACACTTAGAGAATAAACTGTTTTACTTTTTTTTCAACCCCATCATAATCTAACCTACTTACAGTTTATTATGTAGAATTTGTTTGCGAAATTATGAGTAACTTATCCAACGTTACTTAATTAACGAAACTATTGGGGAAAAAGAACGATTTCCAAAAGGATGATTTTAATTAGTTCATTTTCAGTAGCTTTCTTGACTTTTAAGCAATTTACTCTAAGGTAAATTAGCGGTAGTTTTGACTGAGAAGTTACAAATACAAAACTAATACTGTGGTCAATGAATTGAACACTATTGATTTCAATAGTTTCTTGCTCTGATTTCATTTATCACATGTGATGATTGTAAGAAACGTGTAAAACAGATTACATTTATAATAATAAATATATTTTTATTATATCTGAATGAGCAGCAACACAATTTTTCTACTCATTGGAATATAGAAATAGATTTTAATAGTTGAATTTATGAGTCGATGTTAGCTAAACCACAATTGAAAGCTTGGAAGCACTGGACGGCCGTTTTATCCTATTATGAGACTCTTCAGCGGTGCGCATTCCCCGATATTTAATAACCTTCTACCCAGTGCACAATTTATTTAAACTATTAAGTCCAATCTTAGCATTTATATATATGGATCACGTTTACACATGTTAATTATAGTATTCGAAATATCTTCGAACCATTAAGAAGAATTATGTATATATATATCTTCTAGACTATAAAATCAAAATGCTCAAACGCTCAGGTAGACTATATGAAGAGTTCTAAATATAAGCCTACTTGAAAAGCTATATTTGTAACTTATCTTTCTTTAGAATTTCAACCAAGTCACGTCATACTCTAATTGATATTTTGAACTTTGAATCTTGGAAATGTTTGTAGTTTACATTTTATCACCGCTCATTTGCTTTCTATTTTTTAAGAAGAAATATTTATGATGCATAAGGATTTAATAGTAAATTGGTATAACAGTTGTTGAATGAGTGATCATTTCAAGAAGAGACAAAACAACTAGGTTTGATAAATTTCACATCAAATCAAGTGGATTATTTGTTTACGAGTAAATTTTTCTAGTGATTATAACAAATTAGTCAGTTTTAATTTAATACAATATTCCTTTTATTTAAGATTAAAACGGAAGATTATGCTCTATAACAGATCTTAGGTAATCATACATTCTATTATTAGAAATTTACATAGTGTTTGTTTCTTGTCCCATTACTTTATACTAGAGTAAATTTGGACAGTCAACTCTTTGAATATAGTCAAAGCAAACCAATCCACGTAACAAAATGTCTAATCTGTTTTAAGAGTGAAAAATGAACTTGTATGAAAGTTCTGGTTAACAAACTGTGATATATGAGACAATGTAATCGGTAATTGGTTAAGGTGCAAATTCAGAGATATCCGGCTGAACCAAATATGAAGGCCTGCCTTATATGTAAAACTGATTTCGGCGAGACTCTAATTTATGGGCTAGCTAATCAGAGGCGTTTTAGGGATTTCAAGGTTACGGCGCCAACTTCAGTGCTTAATGCTAACGTACGATCGGTTCACAGGGAATTTTGTACAAAACGTGATGATTGAGCGGCTATAACAAATAAAACAGCGAGACTATAATTTGTGGGTGAAACAATCAGGTATAAGAAAACAGATCTCGGATTTTAACGCAAAAGTGTTTCATCTATTTGGCTAAATAGATTTCTGGCATTATACCTGATGTCAGATCGTGATGAAAACCTGATATATAATTCCTAACTGAGGCAAATTATGACAATTATTGCGAACTCGATAATAAAAGTACCAGTAACACTGGCTGCAGCCAGTTACTACAATATATACGTATGTTTGGAGAGCGTATAGACTCCTAAATAGACTTGCTTATGTGCATCGTATCGTTATCCGAAAATAGCATTTTATGTGTTCAACAACCGGAGTGCACATAAACAATCTTGAAGCTATGTGGTCGAGGCTGAAAAAGTTTTTGAAAATTTATCATGGCTCCAGAGGCCAACTATTCTCTAGTTATATGGATGATTTCTTCTACTGCATGCATTACGATTTTAGAACTTCTGAACCTATTTCTAACCTTGACAAGTTTCTGAACCCCGCATAAGAAGTGTATCTACTTTTTTTCCTTGGTTTTGTATAACAAAATTTTACTCTATACTGACTGTTTGCCGATTGGCTAATATTTCTCAAAGTCGTTTAAGATTCGTCCAAAGGTCGTCCATAAATTAGAGTCTCGCCCTGATTTCATGTTTTGTACTTAAAATTAGCTTGTTGACAGCTTAACATTACATAGTAATATTCTGTTATCTTAGTTTGTTTATAGATCTCCAGTTTGAGTTGGATAAATAAGTCAAGTGTATCGCGAGATTTATTGGGTCTATTATTCTAGTCCTCATTCTAATGTTTATTCCTACTTATCTAATCATCTGTTATTATGTATCAGATATGTGATTTATAATCAATAGATGTGCTTAATGTTTCTCTGCAGAGAAACTTTTAAAATAGCAAAACTACTTTATTTCAATGTAGTTTGATGGTATGTTTTAAGTGGTATTTCAATCTTAAACTCAAATTAGCCTAACAAACATTTTAATCTTACATTCTATGTGAATTTTTAAAATACATTTGGTTTCATCAAAATATTTTGTAGATAAAAAAGAAAGAAAAACAACGTTCTAATTGTCATTAGTTTTCTCAGTTCCACTATGTTATTCACTAGGTGTATTGAAAATATATAAAATGAATAGCTTTTTAATTACAATTATGCAATCAATATTTTTATTTCACTTTGTATTATAATTATGTGTTAAGACACAAATACATTTTGATTTTACTAATGATGGTTTAGCACATAAAAATGATGATTTTGTTAAAATTCACACCAATAATAATTAGTTTAAAGAGATTCGTTTTATAATTTTGTTACATATTATATAGATATCTTGAAATAGCATGAATGGTATATTAATTTTTGTTGTCACCTTCAAATGAATCAAACCTGGTATTCATGAATTCAAAATTTGTTACTAACTAACCGGCTTCTAGCCGAAGAGAAAATTAAGGAAAGTCTCTGAGAGTGGATAGGACATATATTGTGGAAATCAAACTGCATCACGAAGCAAGCACTAACCTGGAGTCCTGAAGGGAAACGAAGGAGGAGAAGTTAGATCAGAGAATACATTGAACCGCGAATTGGAAACAGAAATTAAAGGGATGAATAGCGACAGCTAAACAACAAGAATAATGAATGGTAACTTTTGGGATCTATTGATGGACCAATACTAAACGTATATTTCTATTACATAATTGTTAAGTAGCTAAACTATGTATATTCAAATTCCTCTTATAATAAGCTTTATTTTGACCCATAAACTATTATTATGCGTTTTATCATTATTGAGTTATACCCAGTATAATAATTACTACCTCCCTCATTCACAGCCACATCTGGCTAATTCTTGTACAAATATTGTTTCATATTTTATTGATACGTTGTGGTCTGTTTGATTGGTAATATAAACTCAGTATGTTTGAAACATAATGATTCATATTGCAGAGGCTGAGATTGGCGTTCTGGACTTAACTGGCTGGGCTAGGCGGAAAGCTAGACCAATCAGGACTCTAGGCTGCTCGCACGTGTTTTACGCGTTCTTGGTCCAATCGATAATTCGCTGCTTCTAGTTAGCGGCTTTGGGCTATAACATCACCTTCAAATCAATCAAACCTAGCGTTCATGAATTCAAAATTTGTTGCTTAATTTTAAATGTTTTGAAAAAAATATGTATCAACGTATTCGCTGTAATATTTCGGGATTATTATTGGTAGAAACTAGGTGATGGATTTCATCTCATTTTTAATTTATCAGGCTAAAAGGTCTTTGTTTCTGTTACTTACCATTTACACCTAAATTCTTGAGAGAAACGGGCATTTAAACTAATTTTAGACTAATCAAATACTGAACTGGAAACAAGATTAGTTATTTTTGAGGTATTAAAGATGTTTCACGGTGAGAGATGCTACTGAACTGTAATATGTAATACATTTCGAACAACAAATATGGAACTTCGGCAGAATAAAAGCATGTCAATATTAACTGATATCCAATCATGTCTACCTTTTAGATACATAGCCCTACTGTTGTTTGAATGTGGCTAACGGTGTAATCAAGAAAATACCTGTCATCATATTCTACACTCATCGGATAGTTATATAATAGTTTAAAGGTCCAATATCAGCATTAACATTGAAAAGCACACATACTGTAAATTGACGAGTTGGAAACAGATAGAAACTCGCTTCCTGAACTTTACTACCAGATATATTCTAGGTCTTATAAACATCCAGCCTATTATTGTTTCTTTGTCTTAATAATTTTGATAAATCATACAGTTATTCACAAAACATTTATATCTACATAAATTTTACTTTGAATATTGTTATATAAGACAGTTATTTTTAATCTGATATCCCAACCACATTAGTTTATGAATTAAAAATCACTAATTACAATTACTTGTAGACTAATACAGATTATTTATTTCTGTATATCGTTCTAATCAAAGACATTAGTGGTTAACAGATGGTTTTTGATTATTCCTATGAACAAAGATTTATTCAACTTAGCGTTAAAACTAACACGACAAAAAGTAGTAATAAAGAAAATTTTTTAGTTCAAAGAATATCGAATGGTAGTAGAAAAACAATAAACAGTATTCTTTGAAGATTTGGTTCAGACAAAAGTTACGTAGAGCTGACGTAATAAAGACTAGTTAAATCTGGCTTTCGTTTAATCGTAAATTAATCTTCTATTTATTTGTGTTCGGACCTCCTTGTTGTTGGTGTTAATGTTTGGATTTTTTTATCAGGTCTCAGGTGGATTGTGTTTATTTTGAATGGACATCTGGATATCAATAAGTCATAAGCTATTAAATAAATATGGACTCTCGTTTCATCTTAATTACGACTCGTCAGAAGGTTCTGTCCGCACTCTAGGTTAATGTTCATACTAATTCTAAAACCTAGTATGTTTCATTGCAAATACTCAATGCATTATATATTAGGCTATGCACTATTTATGCTTTAATTAGAAACATGAGCAAATGGCATTATTGAGTTGATCTGTCCGAGATGATTATATTCCACAACAGGTTGATCAAAAGTCAATCCTTAATATTAGCAGTGAGAAGATTTAAACACTTGCTGTTTGATAGAAAGTTCATATCTGCTGCACTATACAGGGTATATCTGGACCATTTGAAACAAACATTATTAAGTTCATGTCTGTGAGTGTACATGTAAATTAAGGTTCAGTTACATATTGTTGCTAAGTCATAAATAAGACGAAACATTTCACCTGGGCTCGACTGCTAGTCAAAGGTAAGGAAAGCTAAAGCGGAATTACACTAAACTCTAGCAGAAATTCAAATGCAATTTGTGTGAAAATAGGTACAAGCTTGAATCAGCATAGATAGTTATCATATCAATCTTATTAAACCAATGTTTTAATATTTAATCAAGGGATCTAAATATCGCCTTTAAAGGACCACGACAACAATTATTTAATAATTTGAAATTAAAATGCTGACCTTTTGTAAGATGTATTGTATTCACTAAATTAGAAGAAAAAATTACTACGGGTTAACAAAACCTATTAAAGACGCATGTTCAAAGTCTGTTAGAGCATCCCAATCAAAATTCAGTTAAGAATGTAATTTAAATATTCTCAAAAGAATCATAGAATGAAAATAGACTTATTATTATTATTAATGGCTTTATTCAATAGTATGTTTCGGTACAATATAGAATTCTCAGCACAAGATATTTCAACAAGTTTCTTTTACAAAAAAAAACAGGAAGAAAAACAAAAAGGAAAGGAAAAAAAGGTGACAAAGAGAATTTGAAAAAACTGTACAACTTCCAAAATTAGAGACATGTTAAGAATGCAGGTTATTGAATAGGTTAACTCTAACAACTTGTTCATCACAGAGTATATTTACTAGGTTAGTTATTATAGAACTTTTATATTTTTACTTGCGTCCATGGATTTTAATGTAATTTCTTCTCGTTCTATCAGAAGATATACAAGGAGAAAGATATGAGTGAAGGGGATGGTTAGTATCTGATAAAATAACACCTTCCAGGAGTTTGCATGACTTTAAATGTCTATCCACAACTATAATAATTATGGCCTGGAAAGATTCACCATACATCTTGCCAACTGCCTTCAGCACTCCCGCAATACAGCAAAGTCTTTTCTCAAAACCCCGGGAAAGAGTAATGGAGAACAATAAAGAATAATAGGTAATATGCAAGGATTGACAAATTGCAAGAGTAAATGACGAGTAATCCCAAGAGCATGCAATCTCTTTATGTAGTTAGTCAGACAGAAAATCTTCTTCGATAACAATAAAACGTGAGAAGACCAAGAGAGATCAGAGGAAAAGGTAACACCAAGATAATTGACTTTCGACACTGTGTTTATCAAAGAGTCTCCAATGGTACAAGCATTATGGGATCTGAAAATGGTGTTTAAATTCCGTTCATGTCTCATGCTAAAGTTAACAACTTGACATTTAAATGGATTAAGTATGAGACCATTACCAACAGACCAACAATCAATACGAGACAAAACTCATTCATTTCATAAAAGTTTATCAAAGTAATTCAGTGCAGTTAGTATCTGCGAAAGAGAGAACTTAAACAAACTATCCGACAGTCAACTAACGATATTTATATGGGTTTGTGACTGAAATAATTACTATGATAAGGAAATCATCAACCAAGCATAGCAGCTGTTTAGAATGTGAAGGGAATTATTGTTGATATATATAAATACTTACCGAACTATTCAAACAGCTAGTGTTTTCAATCCATTCCTATCAACGGTTGTCTTTCAAGATAAACTCAAGTCTACTAAACTAATTTTTTGAGATATGAATCATCCTGAAAAGTGATTTGCATAAAAATTTTACGAAAATTTATTAAGGAATTTTTGGATTTCCTTCAAAATCCTACTTTCTACAGTTGATTTTTGTGGGGCATCTTTATCTATCGGGAACATGCTATAATCAAGTAGGTGAAAACTTAATCAGGACATACATTTTTGTAATGTACAAAGTGAGTGGGATTTTTTTAAAAGTGAGAATATCACCTTGTAATTCACTTGAATATGACGCATAGCTTAAGTTTCAAGCGTTTTATTTAAATTAAAGTAATTATAAACTGTAACACTATCGAAGTACAGAATATCATGACAGTAAATATTTCATACACTCAATTAACTCACCTTGTATACTTGATAGATATAAGCCAAGTAGTGGCGTTGACCATTAGGTTCCACGGATTCTTTGTAAATATAAACACGTAAAACTGAAATATAAACATAAACAACGGTAATCAGTGACTCACTCTAGATAAATTCAAAATCATGCCATATACACTTTCAGAAACTATAGAATAATCTTATTTCACAGGCGATCTGAAGTTACAATTCAATAAAGACTAATATTATTTAAACGAAAAATATTCTTTTCGATAAATTCTCTTCAAGTTCTACAATTCATATATCCAAATTATAAATTCGAAAAATGGCCAGGTCAAGGGCAAAGTATATCGTTTAAAGTTCAGGATTGTCAAACAAAATAGAATAAAATTGTTTATGTTGATATGACTTACATAGAATGTTGATTTGAATCAGATTATATGTGAAGTAAAAATTTAAGATCCATAATCAGAATAAACATGGGTCAGATAGGATGAGAGAAATAATAGTGCAATTACAATTTCATCAAATGTTTAGTGGAAGAATATGGTAAGACATAATAAGGTGGGATGAATGAGAAGTAAATGAATCATGTATTGAGAAGATTAGTAATTTGAATATATAATTATAGAACCTAAAGAGATTTTATCGTAAAGCATATTCTTCGTTCAAATATTAGTCTTTTAATATGATGGGGATCTTTAAACATTTTAATCACTTCAGAATTAGTTCTATTACATAACAGTCAACTCGGTAATATTCATTTTGTCTTGATTTTCAAACTCAAGAGTGACTAAAATACAGTTGGTATTATTTGGCTTGTATCTTCCCATTAAGGTTTAAGACTGCAATTGATCAGTCTGTTATTGGCATATATGCATATTGTGCGTATGCCTCGATATTGCCTCAATTCACAAACTTTTTGTAAGCAATGATGGATAGTGGCTAGCAGTGGAATCCAGTTTGACACACGTTTCTTCCTATTTGAGATTCGTCAGCTGGATGTACTTGCATTTCAGAGTTGATGTTCACTCTAAAACTCGAATCCAGTACCATTCGCTAATATCGAAGCCAAACAATACCGAGTGAATTCAAATTCACACCATTACACAAGCAAGTGGCTATCAGGACTCAGTAGCTGGGTGGATAACGGGATGGCACTGGGTTCGAGTCACAGAGTGAACATCAAATCTGAGATGCAGGTACATCCAGCTGACGAGTCCCACATAGGACGAAACGCGCGTTCTGAATTCCACTGCTAGCCACTATCCATCATTGCTTACAAAAGGGACTAAAATATTTTCTTTTCTTATTTCTAATTGTATAAGTTAGTTAAAAACTTTGTAACTAGACTAGAATCAATAAATACTATACAGTTTATTTTGAATTGTCTTTAAGTAGATGTTTTAGTCTACCTACACCTTTCCTATTGTTTCATTTTTTTTTAAATTGACAGATTCTTATAGGTTTGATATTGATGATAATAAAACTATCGACTGGTTGATCAATATTAACATTACCATAACTTAATTGAATTTTCTTTTCTAGGAATCAAACGCATTGTACAAGCATTAAAATCACTGCAATCCTGATCATTAACAACGACCATTAGTTTATACCGTACACAAAAATAATACGAAACATCAAGCTGAAATTAAATAAATAAACAGCTTGATGCACGTTTCGTAGTAAAGATATTATATTTATGGTTTTGAGAATTACCCAATGTTGTCATTGTACCATATTCTCAGTGTCTCTATGCTTCATAAACACTGTGTTTTGTTATCTCTAATTATTCAGTCTGAAAGCGAATTTTACTTCATATTAATAGCAGTTGTCTTTAAAATGTTTCGTCTAAATAATTCACTAATTATGTCTTTCATATCATCCTGTAAATGCCAGTAAATTGGCCAGTATAATCATTGTACTTACATACTTATAAAATCTACTCTCTCATTAAAGATCAGAATAATCTTGGTCAAAAAGTAAAATTACCTGGAGAGGTTTTTTAAAACGAAGGGGAGGGTGTGTCTAAACAAATCTTAGTTTGATTTCAGACACTCACAAAGAATCATGCTGAATAAAGCCGTTAATAATAATGCACATATCTTTCGAGTTACATGGAGAACATGGTTAATAATTAGGAGTAAAACATAAATAAATGATCTCCATACTCAGTCAGTTCGTAAACTTAAATAAAAACTGCATAATTCAGATAACCATAGAAATCCAGGTTAGTTTATCAAACATTTATAGTGTAGATATAAGTAATTTATTAAAATACGCATCATTACTTATAGTACTTTGATTAGCTAATGTCGTTAATTATGTATTATCGTCAATCACTTGGCTTTTGTCTGTCATTTTTCTTACTTGTACGATATGATATTGTCAATAATCACAAAATTCCTAAGCTTTATGTAATCAGATAATGTGCTTAGTTTTAGCTTTTGATTGTGTTCACTATAATTATGAGAATTCAAATCAATAATAAACCTGATAATGAGGTTACTTATCATGTAGGAAATTGTAAATCAAACTTACTTATAACCATTATACTGTTACAATACAACCACAAATTAACAGTATCTTTTTGAAATTTTGTTGTTGTTGTTGTTGAAAAAAAGGGTGTTAAATCAAATAACAAAACCCATATAAATGACCTAGTTAGTTCATTTAAAGTTGTGTTAAAAGAATAAACATTGATTATTTTTTAACTTTTCGGTAAATATACTTTGTCATTATGATTAATATGATCACTGTATTTGCTGTCAAATATATCTCAGATATCCTTAATTATCTTATTTGGATATTGTCATTATAAACCACACCTAAAATAACCTTAAAAGTTAACTACTTTTCAGTCAGAAATTATTGAAGTTCAATATGTATTAATTCCAACAGTTTAGATGATGAGTCAATTGAAGCTAGACCACCATGGAAAACCTGGAAGCACTGGACGGCCGTTTCGTCCTATTGTGGGACTCCTCAACAGTGCGTATACACGTATGTATTACCAATAATACGTATTATTAAATAGAACAATTATTCATAAATAGATTTGTCTACTGATTATTATGATTCAATCTTTGGCTAGTCAAAATAATAAAGATGTAATTGTTAACATTTTGTTAATTATGTAATAAATTTAATTATTCCGTAACAACAAAAGCAAACAAAATAAAATTGATTACGCAATATTTACAATGCTAAGTAACCAATAGGTCTGATATTTAATGAATTAACATATATGATTGTGTTTTTTTTCTTACAATAATTTAAATCACTTTGATGTATTCTAAGTTTGCGGCTAAAATAATTAATGAATTTCGATAATGCAATGAAAAGATGAAGTTTATCAGAATTATGTAATGTATTTATGCAATACATTTTGAACAATCTGATCATAGATATACTTGTTAAGACATTTTTATATGAAAATTAAAGGTCAACCAGACAGGTTAAAGGTAAGCCGTAACAAAGAGAAAAATATTAAAGTACACAAAAACAAATGTGATTACCACTCTGGATAATAAAACAGTATTACCAGGGTAGGTTAAGTGTAAGGACAAGTTGTTTTTCAACGCATAAAGTGGGATTCAATTTCCGTATAGTCAAGGCTTCAACAAACCTTAGTATACGCCCTTAAAGGCTTTTGTATAACCCTACAAATGCTGACTTGATATCAACCTAGTGATTAAAATATCTCGGAAATTATCAACCAACGTTATATAAAGTTGGTCATCAAGTAAAATCTCATTTGGAAAAACGTTTACGTAAATGTAAAGTATTAAAATAGTAACTACTTAGTTACAATTTAGAATAACGTAAAATAATTGTTGATTTATGATACTTTTATTGAGAGTGTATAAATAATGAAGATATTCAAAAAGTGAAGTCTTACGTGATAAACTCTAAATTTTAATGTATAACTCATCGGTTAAGATATATGAATTTTCACTTATCAAAATCATGGGTCAATTGAAACTAGACCACCATGGAATACCTGGAAGCACTGGACGGCCATTTTGTCCTAGTATGGGACTCCTTAGCAGTGCGCATCCACGATCCTGATAAGATATATGACTTGATTAAAGTTAAATTTTGTTGTACTTAAAATCAATTCGGTCCTATTTTCTATTTTTTAATGCACCTGAAAGATATGTCCCAAGTAGTTAAAAGTATACATTCACTGCTTTCTAGTTTTAAATAGTTTATCTGATGATATCAATGTATGATCAGATTTACTGTAATTAGTGTTTCTTTCATGATAGAAATAAAAATAATTGTATCTCGATCAATTAATATTTTATCTTAATGTTTCTTCCATCACACAGTTCAAACTCACAATAAATGAAGTCAACTTTTATACTTAGATGTTGATTAACTAGACTATATGTTGCCCTAAACGATGAGTACCAAATCTACTTATTCTACTGTAATGTAGATTTAAAGTATTTTTTGTTTTGATGAATATAATTCATTTATAAGATAAGTAAATTGTTATCTATACCATTGAAATGAAATATTCAATGAGTTTTATTATTAGAAATATTGGCTGTTAAAAGTTCACTATAATTGAAACTATTAGGTTAACAGTCAATAACTAGGGTTAATTAAACATGTAGTTAGAATGTCTTTTGTAATATAATGGATAGTTTTAAATTTGTACATCTTGTAATCTTTTCGACCGTGGAAAGTCATCTTCATCAATAGTTTTTAATCATGTTTTTCTTAACTTATTGTAATTTTATTCGCTTAGTTTAATGGTTTAGTTGTCTAAAAAACGTACATGTGAATAATAATATATAACTAAATCAAGGTACATTTTCTCTAGATAACAACTTTATTGAGAGATATTCAATTCTGATAGAGTTTTGTTCTCTGAGCTAGATGGTTTGGTTCTGGCACACAAACTTCAGGTTTATGCTGATGATGTCGTTTAGAAGAACGATGAATGCTTCCCGACAAACCCATCCAGCTCAGAGAACAAAACTCCATCAAAATCATCCACATGAGCTACAAATCTTCTCCACAATCATATTGGATTCACATATCCAATTGTGTAACCTGACCAAACATATATGAATAGTGGTTTCCAGATTTT